TTGATTACAGACATCCTAGTAAGTGGGTGGGCAGTGGTATCTCATTGTGGTTTTGATTTGTGGTTTCAATTTGTATTTCCCGGCCAGGTGTGGTGGCTCATGCCTGTAATCCCAGCACTTTGGGAGGCCAAGGCAGGCAGATCACCTGATGTCAGGAGTTCAAGACCAGCCTGGCCAATATAGTGAAACCTTGTCTCTACTAAAAATACTAAAATTAGCCAGGCATGATGGTGGGTGCCTGTAATCCCAGCTGCTCAGGAGGCTGAGGCAGGAGAATTGGTTGAACCCGAGAGGCTAAGGTTGCGGTGAGCTGATATCACGCCATTGCACTCCAACCTGGGTAACAGAGAGAGACTCCATCTCAAAAGAAAAAAATTTTATATTTCCCTAATGACTAATGGCGTTGAGCTTTTTTTCATGTACTTGTTACCATTTGTTCTTTTTTTCTTTCTTTCTTTTTTCTTTTTTGATCTACACCTGGTGAATTCTCCACCAATCCCTATAAGAAAACCTTGCCCCAGGAGATGGAGGTTGCAGTGAGCCAAACTTGCGCCACTGCACTCTAGCCTGGGTGACAGAGCGAGACTCTGTGTCAGGAAAAAAAAAAAAAAAAAAAAGAGAAAACCTTGCCCTGTAGGAGTCCCCTTCTCTGGGCAACAGCTAGCCTTAGATGTTAAGTGCCCTCTCGGCCTCATGTGCCCTGCAGACTCCTTCTCTACTTGGCTCATCCCTGATCCTGCCTTGGGTCTTGGGCCTGTCCTGCTGGCCTTAACGTTCCCAAAGGGGTAACAGTTGTGTCTTTGGGAGCTCTCCTCTTTTGCCCTGACAAATTCCTTATTGTTTGTTTATCTGGAACTTGTTCATTGTAGTCTCTGCCCACTTGGGCCTCACTGAATTCTTCTCTCCACCTCCTACTGATTCCTGCTTATCTTAGATTCCTTAGCCTCTAATGTTTTCTAGACTCTCCCCCTTGGTCCTGGTGGACTCTCCCTAGTGCACTCAGTTGGCAAACTTTCCAGCGTTGGGGGCCCTGCTGTTCTGGCCCAGCTAGGGGGAAGGGCAGGAGGCTGGCTGGCCTGAGGGTGTTGGGGTGGCAGATGATTCACACTTCACTTCTCACCGGAGTGGTGGGGAGGTCGCTGGAGGACCCTGGCTCTGGAGAAGGAGGGGGTTGCTGTGCCAACCCTTGTGGCAGGAGCATAATAGTGGTAAAAACCCACGTCATTTGTGAGGTACAAATTCCTGGTCTAGTTTGGGCCCAGGGGTTTTTCGTTTCTGCAAGACGGCTCTCTCTTTATTCCATCTCTTGCTAACTCACGGACTCACTGACAACATACATTTACTGAGTGCTGACTCTGCAAAGCCCTGTACTGGGCCCTGAGACTAAAAAGTTCAGCATTTGAGCCCCTCATGGTGTACAGAGATAGACAAGATAAACGCATAAATGCAGTATGATGTGATGTGTGTGATAGCGGGGTATGTATGAAGGCAGTGGGAACCCAGCTGAAGTAGGAATCATTCTGCCTTGAGAGAAAAAAATGGGTAGCTTGAGCTACAAGGAAAAGGTTACATTTGAGCTGGGTCTTGATGGAGGAGAGACTGACGTAAGGGAGAAAGGCATTCTAGGTAAAGGACTCGGGTTCTTTGAAGGGACTCGGCTCAAGAGTGATTTGGGGGGATCTCAGAAGCCCACTGCATTTCCTTTCATCTTTCTCCGCAACTACACTGGGAACACCTTAAAGTCCAAAGACCCAGTCTAAGGCCAGGTGTGGTGGTTCACACCTATAATCCCAGCACTTTAGGAGGCCGAAGTGGGCAGATCACTTGAACCCACGAGTTTGGGACCAGTCTGGGCAACATGGTGAAACTCTATCTCTACCAAAAAAAAAAAAAAAAAAAAAAAAAAAATTAGCCAGGCGTGGTGGTGCACACCTGTAGGTCCCAGCTACTCAGGAGGCTGAGCGGGGAGGATCACATGAGCCCTGGAGGTTGAGGCTGCAGTGAGCCAAGATCATGCCAGGCATGGTGGTGCACACCTGTAGTCCCAGCTACTCAGGAGGCTGAGCGGGGAGGATCACATAAGCCCTGGAGTTTGAGGCTGCAGTGAGCCAAGATCATGCCACTACACTCTAGCCTCGGTGGCAGAGTGAGTGAGACCCTGTCTTCTCTGGCCTGGGCCCCAGACTGTCTCTTGTCCTCCATGTAAGTTCATCTGTCCTGTGTTTCCAGATGCAAATGACTGATAAGATAAACTCACTCATGTTTTGTGTTATTGGGAACGGATGGGTTGTTTTTATTTTTATTATTTATTTATTTGAGACGAAGTTTCACTCTTGTTGCCCAGGCTGGAGTGCAATGGCATGATCTTGGCTCACCACAACCTCCGCCTGCCCGGTTCAAGCGATTCTCCTGCCTCAGCCTCCCAAGTAGCTGGGATTACAGGCATGCGCCACCACACCTGACTAATTTTTTTTTATTTTTAGTAGAGACGGGGCTTTTCCATGTTTGTCAGGCTGGTTTCAAGCTCCCGACCTCAGGTGATCCGCCCGCCTCAGCCTCCCAAAGTGTTGGGATTACAGGTGTGAGCCACCGCACCCGGCCTTTTTTTTTTTTGTTATTTTGAGATGCAGTCTTTCTCTATTGCCTAGGCTGGGGTGCAGTGGCACGATCTTGGCTCACTGCAACCTCTGCCTTCCGAGTAGCTGGGACTACAGGTGCACGCCACTACACCCGGCTAACTTTTGTATTTTTGGTAGAGATGGCGTTTTGCCATATTGGCCAGGGTGGTCTTGAACTACTGAGCTCACGTGATCTGCCTGCCTTGGCCTCCCTAAGTGCTGGGATTACAGACATGAGCCACCAAGCATGGCCTAGGTTATTTAATTAATTCAATAAATAATTCTTTCACCCAGCATTAATTTAGGCTTAGTATGTGCAAGGCATAGAAAAGATTATAGTGTGGTGCTTAAGGGACAGGCTTAAAATCAGAATGACTGAGTCTGAATCCTACTAATTAACTGGGAGGTCTCATTCAAGGAAGGTACTTAACTCCTCAATGTTCTCCTCTAGAAAATAGGAATAATAATGCTCCATAGTGTTGTGGAGATTCAATAGGAGAGCCCACATGTGAACTCAGCTTGGTGCCCAGTATAGTAAATATTAATTAATGGTGGTATATACAGTATAGTATATATGTCTGTGTGTATATATATACACATGCACACACATATATATTATAAATATATAAATAATATATGATACACATATAGTATTTACATATAAAGTATAAATACATATACACATGTACATATATTACTAAGTAGTGTATGACATATATGTGTGTGTATGCCTGTGTGTGTGTATATATGTGTATGTATGTATATATCCATTCCTATTCTTAGGGAATTTAAAGACTTCAAATGGGAAAGAAAACCACTCAAATAACCAGAACATTATAATGTATTTTTCCCAGGTGATGTATTAGTGTTTGAAACAGTGACTTTCTGGAGTCATTAATCAAAGGACAGTTATTCTTAGGGAGATTTTTTTTTTTTTTTGGAGAGAAATTAGGATTGATGAATGGAAGGAGGTAGACTTTTGTCTCAGTATAAAGGAGATATTTTTAACAGAGCATCTTGTCGGGCGCAGTGGCTCATGCCTGTAATCCCAGCAGTTTGGGAGGCCGAAGTGGGTGGATCATCTGAGGTCAGGAGTTCGAGACCAGCCCGGTCAATGTGGTGAAACCCCATGTCTACTAAAAATAAAAAAAATTAGCCTGGTGTGGTGGCGGGCACATGTAATCCCAGCTACTCAGGAGGCTGAGGCAGGAGAATCGCTTGAACCCGGGAAGCAGAGGTTGCAGTGAGCCAAGATTACACCATTGTACTCCAGCCTGGGCAACAAGAGCAAAACTCCATCTCAAAAAAAAAAACAAAAAACAAAAAAAGAAAAACAAAAAAAGAGAGCATCTTGGAGGTAGTGAGCTCCTCATGTCCTGGAAGGTGACCAAGCACAGGCTGGCTATTGGTAGAGAGGCTTCCTGGATTCTTTAGGAGGTTGTATAGGGGATTCTAGGCTCCTCAGAAGCATTTTGCAAAGGGCTCTCTTTCCCAGCCATGTTCCTGAAGCCTTTTCTCTCTCCCTCTTTGGATACCTCCCTCCTTTGGCAGGACCTGGAACTCTGTACATATAATGGTGCCTGAGGCAGCTACCAGGGCAGGTGCCTCGTGCAGGTGACCTGGCACCTTATCTCCCCTGCCCCCGTCTCTCTCCTGCCTTTTCTGGCTTAACTCTTAGAGCAGAAATAACCCAAGGCCAAATATTAACTGTGAAACCATAAAACCATGTGAAGGCCAGGTGGCTTCCAGTGGCCTGGACTCTTGGTGCCCTGTTATCGAGAAATGCTCTCTCACCTCTCAATGGGTGGAGAGGGTGGAGTGGCTGGGATGATGACAAGGGACCCAGAACTTTAGCCTTCCACCCAAGTGGAATGGTGGGCAGAGGCTGCCTCTGTTGCCTGAGGCTTCCAGGGGGATTGTTGGAATCTGTTCCTTGGGGCCTGGGGAGAGACAACTGCAGCATCTTTTAGCATCAACAGATGCTAAAGATGCAATCAGGAACTCTCTTAGCTTGTGCAAAGTTTTCACAGGCACCTACATAGTACTGGAATATGCATCTACCACTCATGTACCCTGGTATATACTCATCTGTACACTGTGTCTTACTCATCTTCAGAACTTGGCACAGTGCCTGCAACAACAATCCATCTTTGTTGAACTGATGAGTGAACAGTGAATGAACAAATATTTGTGCCCACCCACACACTCATCCACACATGTAGATATTTGCAGGAGGGTACCTGTAGGTACACATGCATGTTCACATTATGCCTACACAACATGCACACACATTCAGACCAAACACAATAGCATAAATGTACCTGTCCATACACACCAGCACAGAACAGTCACATGCATATAAATATGTATGTAAATTTACAGATTCCTGAATGACCCAGCAGAATGGCAGAGGTGGTGGCTACTGATATGGCTCCGATGATGGGAGGAACACCAGGGTCCTTGGTCTTGCGCCGATGTAGGTAAGTGACACGGACACACATAGAGTAGTTTTAAGGAGCAAAATGTTTAATAGGCAAGAAAGAAGAAGAAAAAGAAAAAACAGCTGTCCTGTACAGAGACAAAGGTGGGGGCTCAGAACAAAGAGGAACCCCGTGTGTGGCGGAAAAAGTGGTTGCTTATATTGGGATGCTGGAGGAGGAGGTGTCTGGTTTGCATAAGGCCCAGGGGATTGGTTTGGCCAGGTGTGTCATTTACGTAGCCCGAGAAAAACCTGGCCCTCCCACCTTAGTTCTTTAATATGCAAATGCGGGTCACCATGATGTTCAAAACATCATTTTTCAACTGGAAAGACCACCTCTCGGTTGTATGCTGGGACGCCTGCACACACTCTGTTATGAACTGAATTGTGTCCCCTGTAAAATTTGTATGTTGAAGTCCTAACCCACAATACCTCAGAATGTGACTATATTTGGGGAGAGGTCTTTTAAAGAGATTATTAAGGTTAAATGAGGTCACATGGGTGGGCCCTGATCCAGTCTTACTGACATCCTTATAAGAGGAAATTTGGGCCAGGTGTGATGGCTCTCACCTGTAATCCCAGCACTTTGAGAGGCCGAGGCAGGCGGATCATCTGAGGTCAGGAGTTCGAGACAGGCCTGGCTAACATGGTGAAACCCCGTTTCTACTAAAAATACAAAAAATTAGCTGGGCGTGGTGGTGCGTGCCTGTAATCCCAGCTACTCTGGAGGCTGAGGCAGGAGAATTGCTTGAATCTGGGAGGCGGAGGTTGCAGTGAGCCAAGATCGTGCCACTGCACTCCAGCCTGGGCGACAGAGCGAGGCTCCGTCTGAAAAAAGGAAAAAAAAAAAAAAAAAAAAGAAGAGGAAATTTGAACACACAAACAGGCATCAAGGATGCATGCAGACAAAGAAAGACCACGTGAGGATATGTGAGGAGACGGCCCTCTGCAAGCCAAGGAGAGAGGCTGAAGGAGAAACCAAACCTGCTGCCCTTAATTTTGGGCTTCTATCTCTCAGAACTGTGAGCACATACATTGCTATTATTTAAGCCATCCAGCCTGTGATATTTAGTAATGCAGCCCTAGCAAAGTAATACATACTCCAGAACTTTCATCTCTCTCTTCTCTAGATTTTGTACAGCAGGAGGAGGATGGGGCTGAGGAGACCTCACCACTACAAGTAGGACCAAGTTCAGTGTCTCTTGGCTTCTTGCAATCTCTTGGAGAAAATGTACTGGGCTGGCTGGGAGCTGCCCTTGGCTGTTGTTTCCTTAAAGAATCATGATAGGGCCAGCATGGTGGCTCATGCCTGTAATCTCAGCACTTCGGGAGGCCAAGGCAGGACGATTACCTGAGGCCAGGAGTTTGCTGCCAGCCTGGGCAACATAGTGAAACCTCATCTCTACCAAAAAAAAAAAAAAGCCAGCTTAGGAGAGGTGGTTGGTGCATGCTTGTAGTCCCAGCTATTCGGGAGGCTGAGATGGGAGAATCACCTGAGCCCAGAAGTAGGAGGTTACTGTGTGCCATGATCACACCACTGCACTCCAGCCTTGGAGACATAGTGAGACTCTTGTCTAAAAAAAAAAAAAAAAAGAACCATGACAATAGGCGGAGGAAAACAGTCTTAGATTCTAAAGGGGTGAATCCCCAAGCAGGCTGGAGCCAGTGTGAAGATATTTATGAAGTGTTTGTATGTGCACATGTTGGTGTGGAGGCAGCCCCAGCCTGCCGTCTTTTTTCTTAAAAAGAGGGTGATGCTATGATTTCACTCTGCGCTGCACATTTCAAAGTCGAGGACTAGGAGGCAAGAACTCTGGCTTGAGTTTTGGGTTCTACCACCAACTTGCTGCATGGACTTAAGCAAATTGCTTCACTTTCATGGACTCTGGATTCTCATTTACATGGTTGCTTGTTTCATAGGGTTCCTGTAAAGGATCCAAGGAGCTAAGGGAGCTACAGGCGCTTTGAAGAGTTAAGAACATTAAGGACTTTTCTAGCGGCCAGGACTTACTTTTCAGTTGGGTGAAAAGCATTTCAAATAGTCCGGCATCCTCAAAAATGAACCTGTGCCGAGTCCTGTGAAGTTTATACAATAAAGGGCTAAACACAGCATACTTTCTGCTCTCAAGGGGGTAGGCCAACCAAGAATACCCACAGAGGCTGGTCACTATGACCCCAAGCAGTCAGCCGTATACTGGGATAGAGTATAGTATAGAGAGGTGCTAAGGATGCTGTGGTCTTGGGGCTTTGAGAAGTCAGAGAAGGTTTCATGGAGGTAGTGAGGATTGGCTGAATTTGGTTGGGTAGATGGCAGGAGTTGGAGGTAATGGAGTGTTCTGAGTGGAAGAGTCAGGATGGCCCTTGGTCCGTGGAGGCAGGAGAGGAATGATGCCACATCAGAGTTACAGGTAAAGATTAAAAGGGAAAACCAGAGTGACGAGGTTAATTTTTGAGTCCTTCCTGGAACTGACTCAGCCCAATGGTTAATCTTTTTGGCCCCTTGGACCCTGTCCCAGGCATACATACACACAACCTGGGGATCCAGAGCAGCCCAGGGCAGAGCTGAGGGGGAACTTGGAGGTTACCCTGCTCAAGCCTGATCCCATTCCAGAAGCAAGACAGAAGATAGATAGAGGGACTGAGGTTTCACAAGGAGTTAGTTGGTAATGCAGAGATTTGAGCTCAGGTCTCCAGAGACAGTCTAGTACTTTTTCTAGGTCATCACCTGGGTCTTAAAAGTGGACTGGGTTTCAGAGACTTTTACCTAGTGTTGGGGAGGGTTGAGAGTTTGGATCCTAACTTGTAAGTGTAGCTGTATTTGTTGATTGTTTCTGAGTGCAGAGCCTAGGATTGCACACTGGATAGGCTCCTGCAGGTAACTGAGGTAGTCTGTTCCTGTGCCTCGGGACTTCAGTAGTGATCAGAAGGCCCTCCGTGTTCCTGCCTGGCTAACTGATAGCTACCATTTCACTAGAAGGACTTCATGCCCACAGCTGGAGGCTTTGATCTTTTTCACAATGCTATTTTGCTCTGGGAGGGACATTCATAGCAAACTTTGAATTAGTTGATGATATAACTCAGTGTAAAGTGTGGTGTGGGGGAAGGAACAGATCCTTTCCTGAGAGCTAATTTTGATGGGGAAAGAAAGCGTGAAGGTATTTAGTGCAATGAAAAGACAAAGGCAGCCAGGGAGGCCTGGCCCTTAGGATCTAGTCTGGAGGTTCGGAGCTTGGTTTCAGAATTCGGCAGATTTTTCTTTTCCTTGTTAAAAAAGCAGTATCACCTAATTACAGATTAATCAGAAAACACAGAGAGCAATGATAGCAGAAGAAATAATCCCTACAGTCCCATTCTCCCCTTCTCCCTTAAATGGCCATTATTAGTGCCTAGGTATAGTCCCTCTAGTCCCTTCTCTATGCATATTTTATGTATGTGTGTGTACATATATAGTGTACATGTGTGAGTTTCAGATTTCGAACCACCAGAACTGTGAAACAAGAAATTTCTTTTTCTTTTGTTTTTTTTTTTTTGAGACAGAGTCTTGCTCTGTTGCCCAGGCTGGAGTGTAGTGGCGTGATCTCGCCTTACTGCAACCTCTTCCTCCCAGGTTCAAGCAATTCTCTGCCTCAGCCTCCTGAGTAGCTGGGATTACAGGCGCCCACCACCACACTCGGCTAATTTTTGTATTTTTAGTAGAGACGGGGTTTCACTATGCTGGCCAGGCTGGTATGGAACTCCAGACCTCGTGATCTGCCTGCCTTGGCCTCCCAAAGTGCTGGGATTACAGGCGTGAGCCACCGCACTTGGCCAAGAAAATAAATTTCTATTGTTTGAGCCACCGGTTGCGGGACTTTGTTATGGTAGCCCTAGAAAATGAATGCAAGTGCCCTAGAGCTGTGGTTCTTAAAGTGTGGTTCTTGGACCAACAGCATCAGCATTACCTGGGATTTGTTCGGCAACATGTGTATATACATTGATATTATTTGTATGTCTACTATATGTATGTGTATATAAGTAAAAAGTAGCATATAACCTCCTTGCTTTCACTCTGATCTGGAAAGTTTGCTGAGCTGTAGACTGGACAGCACGTGCTTGTGGACATCTCAAAGCAGGTCCTTCTTGTGCCAATTTGTTTTTAATACCCTCTTGTTGTCTCTCTTCATTACCCTGTAGAGCAAGCGTTGGTAAACTTTTTCTGTAATAGGCCAGCTAGTAAATATCTTGTTTTGTGGGCCATATGGTCTCCGTCACAATGACTTGACTGCCATTGTAGCACAAAAGCAGTCATAGATAATATGTAAGTGGATGATCGTGAACATGTTCCAGTCACACTTCATTTACAGACAATGAAATTTGAATTTCATGTGATTTTCATGTGTCATGAAATAGTCGTCTTCTTATAATTTTTTTAACCATTAAAAAAATGTAAAAATCACCTGGGCATGGTGGCATGCACCTGTAATCCCAGCACTTTGGGAGGCTGACCGAGGAGGGTGGATCGCTTGAGCCCAGGAGTTCAAGACCAGCCTGGGCGACATGGTGAAAGTCCGTCTCTCCAAAAAAATATACAAAAATTAGCTGGACATGGTGGCGACTGCTTGTAGTCCCAGCTACTGGGGAGGCTGAGGTGAAAAGATTGCTTGAGCCTGGGAGGCGGAAGCTGCAGTGAGCAGAGAGTGCACCACTGCACTCCCTGTGTCAAAAAAAAAAAAAAAGTGAAAATCAAGCCGGGTATAGGTGGTGTGTGCTTGTAGTCCCAGCTACTACTCAGGAGGCTAAGGCAAGAAAATTGCTTGAGCCCAGAAGTTGGAGGCTGCAGTGAACTATGATAGCGCCATGGCACTCCAGCCTGCGTGACAGAGTGAGACCCCATCTCTTAAAAAAAAAAAAAAAAAGTAAGTAAAAATCATTATTAGTTTATAGACAACACAAAAAACCATGGTGGGCTAAGTTTAGCCCATCGCCGTACCTAGCTGACCCTTGCTCTGTAGTAGTGATGTC